GATCTTCCCCTCTCTAGAAGCAGCAGCATGTTTTCTTTTAATTCTATTATCTAAAGCATTAAGCAGAAGCAAGTCTACTTGCTCTGCAGCAGCAGCAGCGGCGTAGCAGATCTAGTCCACCAAGACCATACCTATATGCACATTCTATTTACATTAATAAAGATTTTACAATCTATCCTGAGAGTTGTCATGACTGAACTATGAGAATCGTGCTGTATAAAATCACAAACTTCACAAAGATCTTTTTAGTATCTCAGTTGTTTCTCCTAGACAGCACTCATAGCTTAAGTGGAGAGCAAATAAAGATTCTTGTTGAGGTCTCGTGCTTCTCAAGATTTTTCTCTTGAAAAAACACCTCAGAAATCTCACATCTCTAGTTCTCAGTCATGGGACCAGGAGCTACTAGGGCAAGGATAAGCAACGTCGGTCCAGGAGTGCCGATGTCCTGCAGAGTTGAGCTCCAACCTAAAAAAAATAAACTAACCTGCCTGTAGCCTTGGTGATCCTGAAGACCTTGATTAGCATGTTTAGGTGTGCTTGATTAGGGTTGGAGCTAAACTCTGCAGGACAACGGCACTCCAGGACCGACGTTGCCTGTCCCTAGAGGGTCCAACAGGGCCACAAAATGACTTAGAATTCTTTGAAATAAGCTGTTAAAATAATTGTATTTAAAATTCTAAAACAACATAAGATTTAGGCCTACAACATCATATTTGTGCAGCTCTGAGCTCTCACTCAGACACTTTTCTGTTGCAGTGCAGAGTTCTGCATGAACTGATTTTTCCATCCCACTACTGCAAGTTTCATTCCACACCCACCCACTCCTGCCCAATTATACTTTGAGTAGGTACATTTGGTCCCTGTTTACAGCGAATGTGTTCTCATGCAGTTTAGCCTAAATTACAGCCCATTAATGTGGTCCTGCATTTTACTTATTTTTTTTTCCACTGAGCATAAACCAAAAAAATTGTAACGTATAAGCCCAGTGTTTTTTTCTTTTTCTTTTAAATTCAACATAAAAAAAGACAAGTGTGGTATAGTAATCATTATTTTAGGCGACTTTTGTCTTTAAGGCCCATTACACCTGTCAGGGAACCATATTTTATTTAATTTTTTTTATCTTGTCTTGTCGTAGGCTATTCTTTGCCTATGTATACTCTAATGAGGCAGACCTCTAACAGTGCAGAATTTTAGCTTACAAAATATTTTTAAATATCATCTGAATTATTTACACTCCTAGTTTCGTTGGTGTTGGAGAAGGGAGACTTTTTGCAAATAGTGGTCAGATTTGCCAAATCATCACAGTCTGCAATCAAAGATCAGAGATCTCATTATGAGCGCAACCATTTCTCAAATTCTTCTAAGTCTGCTTGATCTGAAGGCACGCTGTCCACATTTATTAGTGCATGTCAACAATTGTGTCATTTGTTTCTGTTTTTATTTTTCCCAGTTAGGAGAAACTTATAGAGTATATATGAGATCAAGTATATTTGCTGTTATTTTCCAGGAAAAACCTTAAAAGAGAAATGAGAATTAAAAATGTATAAGATAAGGCTTTTAGAAAATACATACACTCTCAAAAATAAAGGTTCCCAAACATTGATGCCATAGAAGAACAATTTTTGATTCCCCAAAGAACCTTTGAGTGAACAGCACTCTTAAAAATAAAGGTTCCAAAAGGGAGTTTTCACCGCGATGCCTTAGAAGAACCAGTTTTGGTTCCCCAAAGAATATTTCAGTGAACAGTTCTTAAAAGAACCATTTTTATTCTTAGTGTGAAGAACATTTTAATAATCTAAATAAACTTTTCCACTGTAAAGAACGTTTTGAGGAATGAAAAATTTCCAAGGATGGTAAAGGTTCTTCGTGGAACCATTGATGCCAATAAAGAACCTTTATTTTTAAGACTGAGTTCTTAAAAGAACCATTTGAAACATTTTAGAACATTTTAAAAGAACATTTTTCCACTATAGAGAACTTTTGTGCAGTGGAAAGGGTCTATGGCTGTTAAACTTTCTTCATGGAAACATAAATGCCACATAGAATTTTGGCTTATATATTTGTCTCGTTTTAAGCATAATTCTAGCAGAATTGTAATGGTCAAATCCAGTAAATGACTAAATATAAATGTAAATGTTTATACTTAACATGAGAGCACATGAAATGTATTTATTTATTGCAGTGTGACAACTTAAAGAGCAATGTCTGAGCAGTAAAATATTCCAATGGGAGATGGTACCAGCTCAGTGATGAAAAGATGAACCAGTTCTTTTCATTTCAGTCTGATTGGCATCACAGTTCTGTGTGGATTCACTGATAATGTTTCCAAGGCAGCAGAAGTGTGATGTTTCAGGCCAGAGATGAGGTGTTTTGATGAGAGATGCTGGCACATGGCGATGCCGCTGACGTTTAGCAGTCCCATCATGAAGCTGCATTCCAGCAGGATGATGCTGAAATGATATCTAGCTGTGTGCGGTTTGGCATAAATGAGACGTATGCTAGGGCTGCCTGCAGTGATGCAAACTCAAGACATGAGTCATCAGCGCCGGCTTCCCATAAGAGCTGTTTATCATACAGCAGACACTGTACTTCCAGATGCAGAGCGCACACTGTCACGATTGCACAACCACACAGCAGACTCACAAATGCTGTATGGTTCTGTACTGATGGCATCCATGAGCTTTTTATAACAATGAATTTGATAAAAAAAAAAGATGGTAGGAGAACACCGTTTTACTTCACTGTTGTTTTAGTGTGAGCATAAGCTTTCATTTGAGGAATAGCTCAACCAGAAATGAAAAACAGCTAAAAATGTACTCACTCGCAGGATATATACAAGATGTAGATGAGTTTGTTTCTTCATCAGAACAGATTTGGAGACATTCAGCATTATATCCTGCTCACAGATGGATCCTCAGCAGTGAATGGGTGCCGTCAGAATGAGAGTCCATAAAAACATCACAGTAATATGCAAGTAATCCACATGACTCCAGTCCATCAGTTAACATTTTGTGAAGTGAAAAGCTGTTTATACATGTACAGAGGATCCATTGGTGAGCAAGTGATGTAATGCTAAATTTCTCCAGATCTGTTCTGATGAAGAAACAAACAAATCTACATCTTGGATACCCTGAGGGTGAATAGATTTTCAACACATTTTCATTTTTAATAAATAAATAAAATAGACATCAGATAAAGATTTGAATTGAAATAACTGCATTTCCTTACTTGTAGATTAGCCTAAAGTTCCTATCAAAATTTAGAAAACAACTAGCCTAGCAACAAAACGAGCATTTCAAAAATATTATTTTAAATTATTATTATTACTCTGCGATCCGTGTTACAATTTCAACATATTAAAGCTACAATGTGATATCTCTTCCTCTATTCCAGAGATTCCCAAACTTTTTAATCAGCTGAATCCTAAAATATTTACTTGAAGTACCCTCTGAGATTACAGTTAATATTTCAATAATTTAAAAACACATTTGCATGTTTACAGTTCTTTGATGTCAGTTAATGGACGAATGACATGCGTGTAAACAAATACAATATTTTAATAATATATCTTGGTTTCATATTGATTGTTTTTGTTTTAAAATGATTTATTTTAATTATGATTTCATTATATTTTAATTGATTTTCATCAACTCTTTGCATCTCTAACTGGTTTGTTGTTCTTTCAAGCAATGTGTTATTTTTCTTGTTGTGACTGAAGACTTGAGAGCTTCTCGCCATCTTATCAAAGGCTATTTTTTCTGTAGTCAGTAATTATTCTTAGTCGAAAAATGACACCAGTTAACTTGCAGTGATATTATAAGAGAGCAATTTCAGAGTGATATGATAAATACAGTTTAGTGGTCATTATATAAAAGTATTTGACTGCTCAGTGACCGTCTATTATCTATTGTCAGAGCTGTTGGTAGATTCTGACACAACAGAGAGGCTAACACTTATGTTACATGGTCATAAGTTTTGGCCAGTGGTGTTAAACTCAAAATTGTCCAATTAAGCAGCCTGTATGATACTGTACTGTATATCAGTATGTGTGATTACTGCTATAGAGCACAAGGGTTCTGGGTTGGAGATCACACACACAAGGGCAGATGCTCAACAGGCTTAGTTTTTTTGTCAGGCCTTGACTTTTTCATGAGTATCCCATCTGTGTGCCCGGGTGTCTTTTCTGTCATAATAAGGGCTGGATATATATCCTGGGTTACCCATGATTTCATGGGTTAATATATAATAAATTGATGTTTATTTATTTATTTATACATACCATTTAAAAAACTGGGGTCAGCAAGATTTATTTATATTTTAAAGAAATTAATACTTTTATGCAGCGAGGATACATTAAATTGATCAAAAGTTGCAATAAAGACTTTTACATTGTTACCTGAAAAGCTGAAATTCAGTTTTGCATCACAGGAATAAATGACATAATTACATAAAATATATATTTTTTAAAAACTTATTTTAAATTGTAATAATATTTTTCAATATTACTGTTTTTTTGCAGCCTTGGTAAACATAAGAGACATTCAAAAGCAAAAAAAAATTATAATTTTCATTTCAGTGCCCTAATGTAACAATGGATAGTAACAAACAGCAAAATAATTACATTCATATATTTATACTAAAACATATATAAAAATGCAGCTCTGTGAACATTTTTGTTGAATGGATTCAATTCAAAACAGACATTTTAAACTGATTAATGGAAATGATCTGAACCTGCCAACCGGGTGCAGACAGACACAGTGTAACAGTTTTCTCATTATAAACATGCTTGTTTCATCGATTAACAAATTAGTGCGATCAATATAATGTCTCTTGATGAGAGCAGTGGTTATTGATCAGCCCCTGCGTTGTAACACAAGACCTGGAAACAGGTCTGTGTATGTCTTCCCTGTGTATCCTGAAAACCGACCATGTTCTGCAACATCCTTTCCCATGTTCCCTTGTTCCTGTGTTTGTCTAACATGGTCTCGCTCTTACAGGTTATGCCACCCCACAGGCCGACTGGAAATCCAGCCGTGAAAGAGAAGGGCTGATCCCGGACCCCCCCGTGTTCCCGCAGCTGTGCCCCTCCCTGTCCCCATGGCGACAGGAGGCCATGCCCCCGAGACAGATGTGTTGATCAACCTGCATCAGGTGAGAGATATCGAGACCCTGCCTGCTGTTTTCAGGCTCTGTGACTTTTAGTCATACTGCTTCATGCCTGTTACACAAACCTCACATCTGTAGCTGTGTTGGTTTTGTGGTGCTGTGTAGCAGAAGAGGTGGAGTTTCTATTTTTGCATTGCATGCTCAGCAGAAAAACGGGTGAAAATGCACTGTAAATCATTATTCATCTACAACATTTCGCGATATGTGCTTTAACAAGACAATATAGAATAAATGAGTGAACTACTCACTGACTTTAAAAAGAAAAAAAAAGTTGCTAGACTTCATGTTGTACTTGTTTCACACACAGTGACAGTTCTACTCTTACAATTCAGTAAACATGAATTAATCCAGGTGATTCAAGCAACATATAACTATAGCTTGGGTTATGTTTAGATTAATTACCATTTGGATGTAAATGTGACCCTCTTTAAACTCTGTAATAGTTCTCAATTGCTAATTTCCTGATAACTTTTTTTATTTATAGTGATTATTAAAGGAAATAATGTGAAAGCTTATCTCCAGCCAAAGAGTTTAAAAAAATAATCGCAATTACATTTTTTATCTCAAAATTCTTACTTCTTCTCTCGCAGTTTTGAGTTTGTTTCAAAATTCTGTTTTAAAAAATTTTTTTTTAATCAAATGTAAATTCATGTCAGTCACATTTTCTTGGTTAAATAAACATTACACTATCAGAAAAAGGGAAAAAAACAATTATATTTTATATTTTTACATTAACAATGTAATACATATTCTATTTATTAAAGCCATGTATGAATCTCATCAACTTAGTGTTTTTAAGCATTTTACATTTATTCCAAAATAATAACTTAACAATAATAAATTTTTATTTGTGAACTTATGTTCAGCTATTCTTTTTAATAATTCACTTTTAACTATGTTTGAAATTTTTGGCTCATCGGTCATCAAAGCTCGGTATATATTGGTCACAGACACGGAGATTTACTTCAGATTTAACCAAGCTGATTACTCACTAAAAACTCCCACAGATCAAATTTTCAGCCCATTTTAAGTCTTATTTTCACATAACAACGTGGTTATATCTAAGTGTGTGAGTTGTTGACTTTTTTAAATTAGTCTTCCCATTAACACCATTATATTGTTAATTCAGAATGATTTGCGAACGCGGAATGCGCACAAATACAAGAGGCGGGATTTACCGTGTGAACCAATCACAGCCGAACATAACCAGTCATATCCAATCATATTGCAATGGAGGCATTGCCTCCTCTCACGTAACTTTCCCCCATTCATTCTCAATTACCCCCCACTAAACCCACGGCATGCTAAGATCAATGGGATGCAGGGAGGCAAGCCTCCGCTGTAACTTTGCCTGCGGGTGTCGCTGGTGGACAGTGTTACTTCATAAAAACGAGTGACTTTTATACTTTTAATGTCATATTTAGTAATATTATATGACAATGTTAATGTATTTGGTCTTGGTAGAATAGATCTGCTACGCTGCTGCTGCTTATCGGACCTATCGGACTGCGCCATCTAGAGTTTAGTGCCAGAACTCTGTATATATGAAGAGTTCAGATGCAAAAGCCTCTAAGTGCCATCTGAAATTTTCATCTAAAATGAGCATTTTGAAATGATAAAAATTCTCATCTTAGAAGAAAATTTCAGACATCATTTAGATTTAATTTAGAGGCTTTTGCATAAGTCTGGCTTTTTTCCCGCTGCAATTTTGCTTTTTTTTTCAGAATTGCAAGATATGAACTTGTGATTGCAGGAAAAAAGCCAGAATCATGAGATAAAAAGTTGCAATTACTTTTTACTTTTCTTTCTTTCTTTTTTTTTTTAATACCGTGGCAGAAATAAACTTCCATAAAATACTCAATGTGGTGATCCAGAATTATTATTTTTTTTGAGAGAGACCTTTTGATCTATTATTCTCTCTCTCTCTCTCTCTCTCTCTCTCTCTCTCTCTCTCTCTCTTATATTTTTTAAAATGTAATTTATTCCTGCAATGTAAAGCTGAATTTTCAGTATCATTACTCCAGTCTTCAGTGTCACATGATCCTTCAGAAATCATTCTAATATGCTGATTTGCTACTCTAGAAACATTTCTTATTATTATCAATGTTAAAGACAGTTGTGTTGCTTAATATTTTGGTGGGAAATATATGGTAGAAAGACTAGGAGTGGAAAGGTTGGTGAGCGATGGCAGGTTTGGGGTCTGGTGGAGCAGTGCCAAGGAGGGAGGCGCAGGTGTTGGGTTACATGTGATGACTGGGCACACGGGCCGTACACAGGACAATAGCATCAGTCTGACCTCCGTTTCGTTTGACACTTGGGATGCACGGATCTCAGCCAGTGTGTGCAGATCTGAAAGACCCTTTTTGTGGATGCCTCCATTGCATATGCGACATAATTTTTTTTTCTCAGACTGGCAAAACCTGATTACAATTGACTCTCAAATTGGAGAGTTAGGAATGTAAAAACTCTTAGTTTTTTCTCATTTTATGCAGAGACCTTCAGTGTGGCTGCACAATTGATATTGCAACATGGCTTTTATTATTAATTTAATGCATTTTATAATATTTTAATAGTTTTATATCAAATTGTGCAGTCATATTTAAGCTAAATAAAGAGTTTGACCTGTTTGCTCTCACAAGAAAGCATTAATCAGACGTATGGCAGTAACAGAGCAAAAAAAAAAAGAAGCTGTATATATATAATTTATTTGCATTGATAACAGTAAAATCTGTTTTTATATCCTTTTTTTAACAAGTTTTCAGAACGCTTCCCAACTGGTATCAATCAAAACAAACAGACCCGTGTGGTTTATACAGCCACATTACATTCATTTTTTGATTCTCCCTTTAATTCAAGTGATGACATTCATATCCACATTTAAACAGATGAGCAAATGAGACCTTTTTGGAGCTTGAGACCACCTGCAGTACAACTAGAGCCATTACTGATAGTTTACATGTCCTCAGATATAAGCATAAACAATCAGGGCCAGTGTTTTAAAAGATCTGCCTCGTTTTGAGATGTGCTAATTGGTTGATGTTCAGCGTTGTCCTGTGGTGCCGGTGGATACTCTCTTATTGATGTCAGGCTTTTAAAAGACAGCTTGGCTTTCAGAGGGTGAGGCACGTGACAAAGTTTGACATAAAGCTCTCCGATATTGGAGAAGAACCTATAATTCTTTTGTTTTTATTATTGATTAAATATTAATTAAATTAGTGTTTTAAATAAATGAAATTAATAAATGTTATTGGCAGTAACAGAGCAAAAAAAAAAAGAAGCTGTTTATATCAGTCACATTCTTCTATGCATTCAACTGTCAACCTTCATCAAATTACTGTTGCTTACAATTCTGCAACCCAAATAAAAACTGAAGGCCGACTGTAACTGAGGAAATCTGCTATGTTGACAGAAGTGTAAAAGAAATTCATATTTGTATCATAGTCAGAGCTCAATAATAAGGAGAATTTCTGCTGTTATTCAATTTCTCCTTACCCTATCTTCATGTTATTCTACCAGTATTGTGATATGGTTTTGAATTAAAAATTTTCTTTTTAAGTATTATATATATATACCGCTGATTACAGAATGGCTTTACTGACAAGATGCGCGTTAAATATCGCATGCGAATTATCGTGCAGCCCTAATATATATATATATATATATATATATATATATAATTTATTTGCATTGATAACAGTAAAATCTGTTTTTATATCCTTTTTTTAACAAGTTTTCAGAACGCTTCCCAACTGGTATCAATCAAAACAAACAGACCCGTGTGGTTTATACAGCCACATTACATTCATTTTTTGATTCTCCCTTTAATTCAAGTGATGACATTCATATCCACATTTAAACAGATGAGCAAATGAGACCTTTTTGGAGCTTGAGACCACCTGCAGTACAACTAGAGCCATTACTGATAGTTTACATGTCCTCAGATATAAGCATAAACAATCAGGGCCAGTGTTTTAAAAGATCTGCCTCGTTTTGAGATGTGCTAATTGGTTGATGTTCAGCGTTGTCCTGTGGTGCCGGTGGATACTCTCTTATTGATGTCAGGCTTTTAAAAGACAGCTTGGCTTTCAGAGGGTGAGGCACGTGACAAAGTTTGACATAAAGCTCTCCGATATTGGAGAAGAACCTATAATTCTTTTGTTTTTATTATTGATTAAATATTAATTAAATTAGTGTTTTAAATAAATGAAATTAATAAATGTTATTTTAGTTTTTCATCACCATTTTCCACCCTTTCCTTTAAGCCTTAAAATTAAATGGGTCATTATTTGATGCTGTTCTTTAAGGCTGCAGTTCGTAAGTTTTGCCTCTTTGTCGCCATCGCTGTTTGAAAACCTGCAATTGCAGCTGTTTGCAGAATTATCTTTCTTGCGTGGGTCGTGCACCGGCACAGCTCCAGCGCGGATTAATCTAATGTTTTGAGGAGTATGTGTGGCAGTCAGTCACCATACCGAAGTAGATATTTACTGTACTTCGCAATCACAGATTCTAGCCTACGTCTTGGAATATATGACCCAAATAAGAATTTTCATCGTATATTGTCATCTGAACAAATAAGTAACAAGTCTGCCTTGTTTGTTCTGACCAACTGAGGAAAAAAGCATTACAATAAATCGTGCTACAATGGTGATTTAATCTAAAGATCGGTTAGCTCATATCACATCAAACCGTGCAAATTATTATTATTGTTATACTTTATTCTCAAATTATTAATGTTAACAACATCAGCATTGCGTGACTATGAGTATAGTGTGTATTAGCGTGTAGATCAATTTCTGCACAGTCTAATCTCTAATAGTCATACTATTCGAATTTCATATTAAGCAAATTCTGCTCCCTTCGAACTGGTTGTCTTTAAAATTCAAATCTTGTGTAATCCCATGTAGGCTATCTGTAATCAGAAGCACATTTATAACTGCAATATAATTTAATTTCATTCACATGTATTTCATAAACACATAATCCGA